GCGTGATAAAAGACATGAAGCAATTGACCTATAGACTTGGTCAAGCCGTTATGCGCCATCCTCTCGAAGAACTTAGACTATACCCTGAAGTCAATGACGATCTTGCACCTACTTGTCAAGATTACGACTCCACCAAATCTACTAACATTTTTGTCAAAGCCTACCTACATTTAACACTACACTGAGACGTAGCACACATTCCATTCACATGTGCCTACTTTGACTATCAAGTCCGCTGTCTCGTTTACACATTAACGCCCCGTTTACAGTCACATCTCTAAAGCCCCCAATCGCAGACATTCCATGTGACCATTTTACCACTCGGTCTGCCATCACGTGATGTTTGCCACTTTTCTATGTGGCTGTGGCACGATAATTCACCATATCCTCTACAAGTCTCAGTGATTGCAGTACGCCCTTGGTTTGCATGTTCACACGGTCTGTTTGGTGTCAGTATATAGGTGCCGCATAATCCGCCAATGGCGGCATTCTGACTGACTGCAGTGGTATCCAGAGATGGATTGCTTCTGAAGCGCTGGCTCCGTTTTCTATTTCGACAATCTTTGACGTCTGAGTATTTGTTACCCTATAATTGTTAAATAATGCCATAGATTTGGTCCGACCATTTTAGCCGGGTTTTCCGGTGGCCTACGCGTTGCTCGACTTCCCAAAGCCTATCAAGATAATGGCTGTCTTTCATCATAAGCGCCTGTGGCATGTCGCATACCTCCGATGAGAGTGACAAACGAACAACATTGGTATGTAAATAAGTGAGGTTCTTCGCAGCCAGTTTCCAAATCAGATAGTCGTCCACATGCCCGGGAAAGCACTAGACTGCAGTTTCAGCCTGGGCATCGTCAGTAGTGCGCATCCATCGGATCCGAACTCATGACCACCAGCGGCTTGAACCGCCAGTCAGCAGCTTATGCCACGGGGGACAGCTTCGGACCGTCATGATTTACAAACTAAGTGCGATAGAGTGCGTCTTATCCGCCAATGACATGCAAGTTACGAACACTGCAGAGGACAGGGTTGGCCCCGAAGGACACGACGTCCATGTGGACGACTATCTGGTTTGGAAACTGGCTGCGAAAAACCTGAAAGACGCTGTCGAGAAAACTTATTTCGCAGCCCGCCTGAGAATTGTTTTTCACAATAAGCCGTTACTTACGAAACTCTTGGAGGATAGACTACTGTCGTTGACCCGTTCAATGATCGTTTATCAGTACTCGTGCTCCTGTGGTGCACGACACGTGGGTCGCACAACGAGGCGCCTATCTCAGAGGATTCGTGAACACATCCCGGCATGGTTATACAAAAGCGAAATGAGGTCTTCAGACAGCTCAATCACGTCGCACCTCCTTGAATATGGCCATACAGCTTCAGTGAATGACTTCAAAGTCATTTACTCACTACCTGAACGCTGCTCCCAAGGATTCCACAAACAGCTCTTATCCATCGCCAAGGCTATCTACATTCACCATCTAAAATCGGAATTATGTATACAAAAACGATTCCTACGGCCGATAATACTACCTTGGCCAACGGACATTGTTACTTAGTTATTTGACTGTTATCTTCCCTACTTAATTACTTTGGACTACTGAGCTTTGCGTATGCATGTGTATTTAGTTTACTTGGTTTACCATCTCTATCTCTGTCTCAAGTTATCGATTTTGATCATGCAAACAGTCCAGAAGTCAATCCCAGCCCGAGTTGACGCTTTCCCCACAATCAGTGTTATGTAGACGTTTGGGTCCGATGAGAGTTTACCGAAAAGAATTCTTCACCCTGAACTGATTTCTGATATTGATTCATATTAATGCAATGGGAATCTTTGCTTTGCTGAAGACCAGCATTGCCCGTGATTCATTGAGAAATCGAAATCCCCTACTCATGAGAACATTGGTATGTGCCAGTTAGCTGTTTGACAACAAACCCTTTGATGATGCAGCACTAAGTCAATTTAACGAAAGTGCAGGTGACGCGTTCATCTCGAATACCTGCAGATCGCTTGCCCCATCGTGCACCAAGTTCGGCTGATCTGGATGCAGTGCTCGATAGGCGTAACCCCTGTCTACTGGGAAAGCAAGCCAACCCACATGGGAATTACCAATAGCGGTGGATCAATCGGGCGAAAACATGGTTGTGTGGCTACAAAGTTGGTGCTGAGGGGTCCGCTGCTGTACATTGTCTGCCATATAATGCAGGATCTTGCAGAGACGTTGCAAAACAACGAGTAGTTCGGTATTCACAATCCGTGCCCCGAAGTGCTCTAGATAAACATTTCTGTGTTCATTCACATCGATCACCGTATTGTACACTGTCATGGTCAGAGCAGCGTTCGCATTCGGCATCATGGGCTGACACAGTACGGTTGTCTAACTTCAGGCCTGTAGCCCAACTTGGTCAAACACATGGATTCTCGAAATGTGCCCATTCTATAGGTACCGGATTGGAGCAATTTGGCGACAGAGGTGGGATGGATCAAAACGGTGTTGTTACAGTCACTTGAAATACAGTTTTTCCACAAGAACATAAGCAATTTGGAGCCGCTCGGTTGCACATGATCTGGATTTCACCCGACACTTATCTGTTCAGCCAAGTGGAGATTCGGCACCTAATCATACACGAGACTGTCACTCGACAATTGTATTTATAACCGGGGGTCCTCAGGCAATTACGAATGATCGAGACAGTCACTCGACATTTGCCTCTCCAGTCGGCAGGTGCCAGAATACCAAAGAGCGTCCAGTTGACGCGGCAATCAACAATGGATTACAGCAAATTTTCCCCAGTTCCAAATAAGGGACAGATACAGTTCCACTTCCCTTGCAGCTGCTACAATCCAAGTGTCAGAAGACCCTCAAGAATGCCATGCAATTAAAACTTTTCTTTGCGGTGAAGGGTTAGAGACCAATCCTAACTAACCCAACCATTATGATCATCGAACAACCGCTATCTATCATTGTAGTGAACACTGCGTCATAGCCAAAGCAGCGGCATCATGCGCTGACGCAGTACGGTTGCCCAACTTCAGGTCTGTAGTCCAACTTGGTCAAGCACATGGATTCTCGAAATGTGCCCATTCTATTAGTAGTACCGGGTTGCACAACACAGTGGTGTTTATTCACGTCGCCAAAATAATCGAAACTGTGATTCAAAAAGAGCCGGCAAGACAGTCTACAAAAGTGTTGTATGAATTCATGGCTACTGGTAGGGAAGTCGTCCTGACATTATCCTCTGTACAGGCAATAAACTGCAGGGCAATGGGGGATGGGTGGGGCTATATCACAGTTAGATTTTAATCTATGATGGGCAACTATCGTCCTCAATGGTTCCGTTTTCTGAAGGGTGCTGAGGGAACGCGCGCACAACCGGCGACTCACAGCAGTACGAAACGGTCATCTGGTACTTTAACGGGTATGTAATTCCAAAATAAAAACTTAGAATACGTAAAATGTGAGATGACTCGACCATTTCGTGCAGTCACAAATCATGGATATTATTATAACGCTGCTCTCTGCACTGCCAACCCAGTCTGGGACAGAACAAGACACTAAAGCCTGCTAGACCGAAATATATTAGGCACAGAACACGGTTCATTTTACAGGTCACAACATATCATCTCCAGTTGTAAGTTCCTGAGCTGACTCAAGCCACTTGCCCTAGACAGATTACAAACCTGCTTGCCAGCTGTTGTCGCGCTGTCACGTAGCAACCCGTGTGATGATGACGGTTTGATTTCATCAGCTTCCGGCGTGACTCAGCCGTGCTATTGTCGGTCGGGTAGCAACCTGTGTCATCCTGACAGACGTCTCGCAACCTTGTCACGTGCTTAGGCTGCAGCACCTGATTAATATACAAAACGCAGTCATTTGAGATAAATAGCCAACCAATCGTCGCATCTAACGCTATCACGGTAAGCTGTTTCTGCACACAAAGCAGTGGCCGTTCGCAAACGATGACAATGGCTTCCAATAGCCTAAGAATATGATGCCGCTAATTGCGCATTATGACGGCGAATGACTCATCGGGATTAACTCGGTGGTCGATGCTCCGCAAACGCCCAGGCAGCTAGATTTCTTAATTCACTCGATTCCGCTATCACTGACCTCATCCGGCTGCGTAACCACTTAGGAATGTGCTCACTGATCCTGATACCTAAACTTCGGTCAGTGCGCCCGACATAGCGGCAATTGATTTATCTGGCGCGTAATCGAGTTGCGATGAACCAAAAAATGCATCCACTCAAAAGACGAAATGTAATCGGCGGTGCATCCACTTAATGACCTGACCGATTCCGAGGCCCCATTCAATGAGATTACACATACACTTTTCCAACACTACTGATTGGTCGCCTCTACGCTGCGTCCCACCGTTTGCACAGCATCGGCGCTATGTCTTACGGTTCGCATGTATGCGAACAAGATGACTTATATGTGCGGCATAAGGAATTTCATCATCCGACACTAGAGGAAGGACATCGGCCTTACTACAGGGTAGTAGAGTTCGTCTCGGCCAAACTCAGATAGGCGCCACATATCTGAGAAAGTGCTAGTGGACCGATTCGCTCAAGTGAGACTCACAGTAGCGCGCATCCGCCGAATCCGAGCGCACGGCGTAGTCTTCCGAGCCAATTAGCCATGAGTGACTCCCGTGGGCCTCTATATCGCGGCTACTCATGACAGTTGCCGTCATCACTCAGGACTTAGCGGTACTTAATACGCTTACTCCTTGTAAGAGTATGGTCGTGCGATCGGATCCGGTGGATATACCCTACTGAGAGTTCTAATAAGACGACTCGGTCATCGACCAACACCTTTCCGGACGTGCTGGTGGTTGCCTGATTGGGTCCAGCGACGGTCTAACCTCGAAAATAAACATTACTCATCAGATGCGCCCAAGCTGACGGTTGTCTAAGGTGCCCCCAAGTTTGAAAGTCGCTACTACATTTCCCATCCGGAACATTTCAAAATCCACTAACTAAAAAGCAGATGCCTCAATCCGAATCCTCATTCGATTGTGTCAGGATGTACTAAAAAGCACCGAGGATGAGTATAACATGAATTACAATTTAACGATAAACACTTGGGAGTCTCCGACACCACTACACACACAGTAAACGTCATGAAGAAGCAAACGCGCATTCGGCACAATCTTCAAGCGATTTCACAGTAACACAAATTTCGATGCATGTACCACAGAAAAAGGGGAACAGAAAAATGGCAAATCAGACCTCGGGGGTCGTAAAATCGAAAGTTGAGCGAAGAACCGACTTGAGAGTGAATGCTTTGATGCGCGTGCGTACTGCACATCTAGCTATGAATAATTTGTACTGTAAATGGAATAGAGATGGTGGTGTGGTGCCGATCCCATGTAGATGAAGTGATATGAATGAGACTGCGTGCGAGCGTGTACTGATGATGTCCGAAACTTTCTACTTTCTTCGGTTCTGACCTCCAGAGAAGATGGCCACCATTCGAACGAAGATGTTCACAATGTCCAGGAGGATGTGAATGGAACTGGAAGAGACAAAGTTTTACAGACGAACACTGGTATCAAGCGGAGATGCGAGCAGGGATGAGGACAAATTGGAAGACAAGTACAACGGACGAGAAAATACAGACGCACGATGTCAGCTGGAAAACAATGTGGACGTAGTTGTGCGCGAAGCACTCACACAAAGTGGAGCAACTGGTTGTGCAGTAACTCACACTAGAAAGACACAGGTGACATTGATTCGACTCTATGGCTTGCAATTGCCACATTTCGTTAGTGAAAAGCAACGATGAATCACCAAAAATCAGCCTATACAGTTACTAAATACAGTGTCATACATAGCCGTTGTGCTAGAAGTCGTGGTCCCAAAGGTTCAACCCCGTCCACTGCAAATTTAGTAACGTGCGCTATGTCGCAAGTAGAAATGCTGACCGCTTACTGTCCGCATGGGCCAGTAATATAAATCGCTGACGCAAGGAGATCACGGGTTCAATTTTTGATTGAGCAAGGAGATGCGCGCTACTAGTAAGTCAAGTCCCACTCCAAAACGAAACGGACGTGTCTATCACTTTCCTGGACGCGTGGGAGTTCGTGTAACTGGGGCCTGACGGAGATTGACAATTGAAAACGTACACCAATATCTCCTACGCACTAACAGATAAAAATTGTGTTGACAACAACAGTGTCTTAGAGAAATTTTGCTGGTGTTGCGTAAGCATACAATCCGGAATTAATGGCGGCAACCGTGTGGTTCAATTCAGCCCCGTCCAGTTAACCAAAGTGTGGTGAATCCAATTGCCACGACTCACATCGCCAGAATAACAACGATTTACAACGGTACAGAAGAGAAGTTAAACGCAAATAGAATACAAAGACGGAATCAATAAAAAAGCGCGTTGAACTAATCGGGACGTAATGAAAATTAACAGCGACTGCCCGGTCTCCAATCACTGGGTGTGGACTATCTCGAGGTCCCCATCCACGAAGTCGATTTTTCTATGCCACGTCATCGACCGGTCACCTCGCGGTTTCGCCCAAACTAGTGTAGCGACCGCGTATAATGCAGTTTAGAGAAGATCGACGAGCATACAAGAACACGATCTAGTCAGCTATGTAGCAAAAAGGAGTGTATCTTCAGAGTGAAGCCGCCTGCGTTTTGTAGACAACGAAGGGACCGCGAACAACTGGTGATCGTGTGAATGTGGACCGGCACCGGCGAGATGACATCTTTGCAGCTTTCATTGTCCCGCATCGTAAACAATCTTACAGCATAGATAACTACGGTAGACCGATCAAAAATCGCGGCGAAGTGCGTCGTGTGACTCTCCTACTTAAAAAGTGAGACAGCCCAACAGCAACTCACTTACAGTCTAGAGGGCCTTGCTCAGAACACCTCAGCCCATTGGACAAACAAAACGAAACATTTCTTGACAGGCGGCCGCCATCCGTATCACATGACTGAACCGCTGCGAGTATTCAGTCCAAATTATTGATGTAAGGGACTAGCTGCAGCATTACCGCCAGGCTGGCGCTCGGATGCACACATATGGAAGGGAAACGCTGGTCAAATGACTGGAGGCGATCGAAACCTTCAGACGGTTTGAGTCAAGTGTGACACAATGTGAATAGTTCGCACTATGCTTACCTAAGTTATATATGTGGCCCTTAACAAAAAGTGGAACGCTTCTACGGTGCCAGTACTTGTTTCTACACAACGGAAAAGTGTTCCAAGCTATCATCACCATTAGTATCGCCCAACTTGTCAGCTGACGTGTAGCGCATGTCAGCCCACCGGCTCCCGCGACAGGCGTTACTTGCGCACCGGGGGTGTGGATGGAAGAAGAGGACGGGTAACCAAGCGATAACTTGGTCAAGAGGAACGAGAACCCTCACTTCGAAGTTGGTCTCGGTTGGAGTCTGTCGGCTCCCTGGTTGGGGCTCGAAAGACGATGAACACGTTTGGTTGGATACACTTGTTGACATGGCTAGGGGGCCGATGTCTATGGCGTTTGTGTTGTGAGTTTTATTGTCCCTTCCCCTCGCGCTTAGCCTCCTTCTCCAACCACGATCTCATTTGCTAGGCATAATATTACTCTTTTGTTGCGGCACAACAGCCGTCTGGTAGTTCTCCAGAACGATGACCATCCGTCATTTGTGGCTCGGCTGGCGTGCCTCTGTTGCAGGATTTTTCTTTTTTCCTTATGCATCGCGGCATAATAGCTGAGGCATATTCCACCCCTAGCTAAGGTGTATAACGATGACGACATATCAGCTGACAATGGGCTCAAAAACCTAATACCAAGACAGTGGAATTTGGAAGTGGACGACATGGAATCATTCTGAGGAATGAAGAACCACGCTCATACTAACTACTAAACTGGAATACCAGGAGAATGAATCTGTCTGGCTCATAACCACTGACCAATCTGATATGAGTAGCTCAGAAAGTGGAAGAAAGCACCACCCAACACAACTCAGTGGATCGCTGAAGCACGCAAACCATCGAACCATGTGAAGGTGCAGTCGTACTGCGCTGGAGCTTCAAGCCAACTACTCGCTGGGGTGCAGGTTTCATATCAAGAAAGGTAAAAGTTGGTCAATGATATCCACCGGCTTATCAACAAGAGGATGGGGAGTCTACAAAAATACCTTATGCTTCGAGGTTGCGAGATGAAAGATGAGATGAGACCTCTGGGAGTAGTATTTCCACAATCGCACACAGTACTGTAACCGTAATAAAGCAAAACGATGTCGCCACATAATCCAGATTCGTGCTTCGTGACAACACACCGACTTCCGTGACGTGTGTTATTTGCGCGCCGCGGGTGCGATTGGAAGAGAAGAAGGAGAGGCCTCATTCCGAAGTTGGCGCCGGTTGGTACATCCCGACTGCCGGACTGGGGTCTCAAGGACGATGAACATGTTTGGTTGGACACACTCGATGATATGACGAAGAGCTGCCCTTTAGTGGCATTTGTGTTGGGAGTATCTTTGTTTATCCCCCTACTTTTCGACCACCTCCCCAATTGCGATCTCATACGAAATGCATACTATGATATATAACATACTAGTTTCTCTCTGAACTTTTTTGTAATCTGTAATTTTTAGTGTGTTGTCTTTTTGTATTGCGGTACATTAGCTGAGGTGTGTTCCTCACCCTCAGGATTCATACTGCGAGATTCAGTAACAGTATCTCTAGTCATCAGGGGGGGGGGCAAAATCGGAAATGACTCAGCATGATGGCAGGGAGATTGCCGCGCCAGACGCCAACAACACACGGTTGGACCATAATGTGTGTGGATGAATTTCGGTGAACACCGGTAAATAAAGGTACATATTGTTTTTCGACCTTGCGGAGCTACGCCATCCGCCACGGAGTCAAGTGGGACTGCAAGGTAGTACTCGCTGCTACCGTCGACGGATTAATGCGATGATGTCACTGTAGCAATGAGTGCTACCTAGAAAAGAAGTGGAACTCATGCTGGTGAGCAGCCAGCTTGCTTAAAACGATGCAATACTTTCGACCAGTTCCCAAAAGCTAGCAGTGTCAACGACAATCATACACCAATATGTAAACATCGGCGATTCGATATGTACGATGATAAACAGTTTTAGGCGAGTTAAGACGCTGAGCCTGGCAATTTGGTTGCAAACGGTTCACCATCAGTCGAGGTGACGTCATTAGTGCGTTGTTACAAAGCGAAGCGTAGCATAGGAAAATAGCGATGAGAATAGTTCGACCGCTATCTGAACAATTTGAGCTACTAATGTTCGTTTCAGTATACTGAAGAATTCTGGTAAACACCAAGGCCATTTCGGTCTGAGGCACCTTGAAGTATTTGAATCATCGCTGCCGGGAAAGCAATGCTGTGGTCAGATAGCACCAAGGTGTCCGTAAGGAATGATGTGTGTGGGTGAGTACAAGACAGGCCAGTTCTTTAGATCCATACAGCAATGAATGAGTTTGGTACGTACACGCATACGTACATGTCTGCTTAAAGAGAAGGGTTTAGTTTTGTTTGTCAGATGTAGTGTCGCAGGGCACGATGTGGGCAAAAAGTTACTTGACAGCGGGAAATGTGGTCACTCATTACAAAAATGGGTGTCGTTGGTCTGCCTAGCCTTACAGGCTGGAGTCCACGTGATTCGTCTTGCCGGCCAGTAGCCTTAAGGCCCACAAGCATGCCTTGTGATCAGAGGGCGCGCGGGTTCGATCCTGTCTAAGGTCCGGATGACTCTCGCAGTATCCTTAGCCCAGGGGCTACTGGCGGTAGTTGCGCGGCAGGGAAGCGTCGATACTGCGTACCGGCGTACTGCTGATGCCTGGCTACGGAAATTACACAACATGGCGCCCAGTCAGCACCAGTGACTTGTCTGATGTCGTCTCGTAATCGGACAGCCTGTTTAAAGCTTGCTTTGGTGCTGAGTTATTTGCGTGATAACAGCTGATTATGAAGCGGAGCAGTGAAAGCCGCAAGGATACCGATAGCGTCTTATTTTTGCACGATGGCCAGCTGTTTGTGACGATACGTTGTTGACAAGATGTAGGCGCCTTGATCCGGAATGTTTACTTGAGTCACTGAAGTCTTATGCGGAGCATCAGTTCAAATGGCTGATGCACTGCTGTTGATTGTTTGAAAAGACCAAATGTAGCAGAGTGTGGTGTGAGGTTAGCAACTACTGGTCGCCCGTTCGGGACGTGCCTGGATTGCTGTTAACACGACAACAAAACTCGAATCAGAAGTGAGCGCAAGCTGCGACATCCCCAGGCCGTGTGGGGTTAAAGGCATCGCACAAGATGCGACCGGACGCCTAACACTTAGGTAACCCGTCGGCGAAACTGAGATCAAGAAATTCGTGACTGGCTATCCCACTTATATAACGCGTTATTTTGTCCTAAATAGACTGTTAATCGAAACCTGACTGGACTTTTCGCGTCTCCAGAGGGCTACGCCACAGTGGGAACTTGGTATTGGTCCACAGGACGAATCACTTTTACGTAAACGAATATCATCCCAGTCAC